AGGGAGGTGAGACCCCTTCCGTGAATGAATTTTTTGTTTATTTAGTTGGCAAAATATATCTTTATATCTATATCTTTCATTGAAAAAGATAAAAATAAGCATAAATAGAGAGCGAAAACACTAAGGCTTTAAATGTCTTTAAAGTTCATCTATACGCTATAGAAAACCTAGCCTTGGTACATATTTAATAACATAAATATATATAACCTTAACCATTATTATGTATAAATGTATATATATATATATATATATATATATATATATATATATATATATATATATATATATATATATATATATATATATATATATATATATATATATATATATTGTAAGTATCGTTAAAATACACGATATTTTATTTAAAATTTTGTTATAAATTTTAATATTAGGTTTTTATCATTAAAAATATTTTTGTTATAAATTGTTAAAAAAATTTTGTTATATTGAAAACTTTTTTAAAAATGTTATTAACTCGTTTTGCACATTTCACTAAGCAAAATCATGCGCAAATTAACAATAACGTTCTACAACAAAGCTACCGTTAGCCGAACGCGAGTTTTTTACGATGGTTGCATTTTTCCTTAGCAATCCTTCATAAAAAAAAATGTTACTTAAATAAGCATAACTTTTTTTGTAATTGTTCGTTTTTCATAAAATTTTCACCATTTTAATATAAATTCAAAGCTCTTTCGAACCATATATAATACTTACATGAATAAATGGTTTAAAATTTTTACACACGTACCTAATATATATATATATTATATATATATAGATATAGATATATATATATATATATATATATATATATATATATATATATATATATATATATATATATATATATATATTTATATATATATATATATATATATATATATATATATATATATATATATATATATATATATATATATATATATATATATATATATATATCTATATCTATATATATACGTATATATACTAGTTAGCTATCTAGATAGCTAACTATTTCACTATATAAACTCTGTAATCTCAAAAAATATTGCAAGAGTAAGTTGCACTGAAGTTCGTGCAATATTATTATTATTATTTTGATCTCCTTTTTATTTTCACAATAATATAAAAACTTAGCAAAAATAAACAGTCACAAAATAATTTTATTCAACGCTAACTAAAGATATATATTAAAACATAGTCATAAGAAATATATATTATTCTTATGACTATGATTTAAAAAATATATCAAAATAAGCTAAAATATTTAAAACGAGAATTAAAAGGGGTTAATTTATTACGATGGGGGTTTAAAATATTTAGGCCCCCGGTTAATCCATTTCGCCATATTTTAAAATAATTTAACTCCCGATGTAGTATGAGATTATTACTCCCGCTTTTTTTTTACTCCCCGGTAAAAATCTCATATTAAATTTTTACTCCCCAGTAAAAACCGCTTATTAAATTTTTACTCCCCAGTAAAAATCTTATATTAAATTTTTACTCCCACTATGAGATTTTTACTCCCATAATATTACGCGGCAAAATGTGTTTTGCGACTTGGTTGTATTTTGAATTTTTATTTTTAATGTTTGAAAGACAGTTGTTTTTTAAATAGCAATAAAAAAACGATTCCGTTTAATATGAACATTATTTTAAAATATTGTAGTGTTTAAATGAAAAAACAAGAGCCGATCCAGATCATGTAGTAAGGGGTCATCAATAGAAGACGTCGTCCAAATAGGGTTGGAGGAGGGTTTGAGATAAAAAGGATGAGAGAAGGGAGGTGGGGAGGTTTTTAGAAAAGGCTTCATTTTATAGATTTTTTTAAATGTGTTTTTATGAAGGTAATGTTTAAGAAAATTTTCAAATTTATTTTTGAAAGGTGTAGCAGCAGATTCAAACACCATTGCGAAATGAAATAAATTTTTTTGTGTTTGAAAAAAGGGGAGGGGCAATTTTTAGATAACGATTTGTAAGACAATATGTAATGTAAAACAATTTTAAATTTGCACCACGTAATTTTATTAAAATCTTTTTTTTATTTAGACAGCCTAACTATATTACTTCCGTTTTCAAACAAATTGCTGTTTTTAATATATAAACTTACATAGTACAAGAAAAGAAAATACAATAATTTGAAACTAAACAGCATTATTTAAAACTCGTAAAAAAAATACAATTGTATATGTACTAGATTTTCAACTATTAATCACAACATCAAAGTGGAACCCAGTTGAATTGTCTAAAAATATAGAATAGTCACTTAACTTATTAAGCCGTAAACTGCATGGGTAGATCATCCATTTTGTTTTCTCTCCATATTTGCTGTATACTTGAATATCTACTTCCATAAATGAAGCACATCCTATTATCTCTGCATCAGTTGCCCATGTCGCATCTTCAAGCATCCAAGTTTTACAAATATGTGTTTGAATTGGCATACTCAAATATCCAGTCATTTCATCATGTATTTGGTTACACATATGGTTAACAACCTTGTCTCTAATTTGCTTATGCTCATCCTCACTTCATTTTATGATAAAAGAAACTGCTCTAAAAAAGCAGTTTCCATCTCCTTTAATTCTATGGAGTCCCTGAGGACAAAGAGTTAGGTTTATGTTTCCTACGGCGACATTGTGTTTTCAAACAATTTCAAACTTTTCTGCAATTAATTTTCTCATTTCAAAAGTTGCACACTTTGCTATTTCTTTGTCTAAAACATTTACACAGCTTTCATGTTGAGTATTTATATATGACTTGCTTGATTCAACGTCTTTGATAACTGGTTCAATTTTGATATCATTATCATTTGATAATTTGTTAACTTCTTCTATTTGAATGCTTCCATTACTAAGTGTTTTTTCTTTGTACAAGGACAAACTTGTTAGATTGTACTTTTTTTTCAATATTACATTTTTTTCATTTTTTAAACTACAGTTATTAGTACTTGAAATATTAGTTACCGTGTATGGTCCTATCCATGGCTTAGCAAGCTTTCCACCTTTTCTGTCATCACGTTTATGATTTCGCAATAAAACTTTTGTTCCTATAGCAATACTATTCTTTGGGTTGTCATAGTCGCGTTTTTGCCTTACTTGTGACTTTTGGATGTTTTCGTAAGCTTCATCGTAAATACACTTCAAAAAAACAAATGGTTTTGTTTTTCTTCGAAAGTTCGACTTATCGCCATAGCTGTCTTTGGATATATGCATCTTTTTAAAAAATTATAAACGTCGGCAAATTCAGTATGCATAGTTAAATTTTTAGAATTATGAAAGCCACTGCATAAAAAGATTCGTTTCTTATTGCTTTCCAAGAAACCGCAGTAATTAAAACGTTGAAAACTATTCTCAAAACACAACGTGATTTTGTTATAAAAATACGTTTTACCGCATAATATTTTTATGGGAGTGAAAATCTCATAATGGGAGTAAAAATTTAATTTAAGATTTTTACTGGGGAGCAAAAATTTGATAAGCGGTTTTTATTGGGGAGTAAAAATTTAATATGAGATTTTTACTGGGGAGTAAAAAAAAAGCGGGAGTAATAATCTCATATTACACCGGGGTTAATTTATTTCAATATAAATTAACCGGGGAGTTAAAATGTTTTAACCGGGAGTTAACTTTTCGGGGAGTTATTTTATTTCGCGTCACCAGCCGCAATTACAAGAGATCCACTTGGGCTTTTTGTCTGTAATTTTAAGCACATCTTCATTTCAATAAGAGCTGTGTTTTAAGAGGAACATAATTTTAATAAATCAAGTAAAAATCCAGCATGGCTAATTTATATTTTAATAAAATTATATTTTTTCTGATATCAACTTTGGTGGAGAGAGTCCTCAGACGGAAAACTTTTTTAAAAAAATATGTTCCATTTAAAACGCTCATGCACCTATTCTAAATGTGTTACCAAAGTTTTGCTTTGCCTTTTTTATTAGTTTTTGCTAAATCTTGGCCGGCGCAAATCCTATTTTCTGCTTATTTTTAGGGTTTTTTGGGGTATATGCAATACCCGTTATATATATACCCGTATATATTTATTATTTATACAATACCCGAATTATATTTTTTTTTTGTAAAATTTCTGTTTTTATTAGAATGTTTGTTAGGTTATTTCAAAAGTTTATTTCTATTGTCTATATTTAATAATGGGGGGGGGGTGATATTCCTTAATAAAAATGGTCCAAAAATGACTATATTCGAAAGGCTTGGGGGAGGTGATAATATCAAAATTTTGAACAGTTTTTTTTTATAAGACAGGTATTGATGTATATTTTCAAATAAAAAGAGCAGTTAAAGCACAATATGCTCATTTCGCTATTATATTGTGCTAAAATCGCCAAAAATAAAAGAATTATTTTGCCGCGAATCATAGGAATGATGTAATACTTTGTTTTACACTTTTCTCTTAAAAAACAACCTTCCTTAAACATTTTCATGGTACTGGCCTGTATATATATATACGTATAAATTAGTACTAAGTATTATTTAATACATTATATTAAATTGAAAAGGAAATACCATTAATTTAGATTGCTTTAAAAAAAACCGCATCCAATTTATGATGTTATGTTAAAAGAGTTAAGAGGTTTTTCATAAAGAACGTAAGTACTTTATGAGGTACGAGGGGAGGAGTAACCCAAAAACATACGAATGATGTTGGCGTACGAATGCGTTCAAGGGGAAGCGACAGCGAGTACGTACGCGGTTTGACTATCTCTCATAAAACTATTTTTTATTTTTTAACAAAAGCATCCATCTTCACGATTTTAAATAATCAATATGATTTAATATAACGTAGATAAGTCGAATTAACTAGAATAAAAATTTTTTAATTTTTAAAAAATTTATGCGATATGGAAAGAGGGTTGATTTTGTAATAAATAATGCGAACGTACGAAGAAGAGAGGTCGTTGAAATTTAAAGTTAAAATCAGTTAAATCAGTGTTTTTACTGCGTACGTACTCTACAGATGCCCTCTAATATAAAATATTTTCTAAAGAAGAAGCAAAATTAGAAAAAATTATATTCTTCAACTTAACATAAAATAAAATAAAAATTAATTGCTTTACACAAACAGCAACACAATAACTAGTTTCTAAAAAATGATTTTTATCCGACAAGATCAAACCTTGGAAATAACCAAAAAGATGAATTGAAAACACTGAGACATTAAGAAGATGAAATGAAAAACAGAGCTCGTCAAGTAATTTATGCAGTTCCATAAAACGCGTTTACACAATCGACACCAGAGATAAATTACATGTTGATTATTGAGCGAATGCTAAAAGTAAAAATTAATTAAAAATTTTTATATAAAGTAATAAAAATTAAATAAAAATTTTTATATTAAGTAATAAAAATTAAATAAAAATTTTTTGGAAAAATAGACATAAACTATTGATGCTATTATATATTTAGGGTATCCTAAAAACAAAAAATTTAAAAAAATGCCTACACATTCTACCTAAATGTGTTCTATATATATTAAGATAACAATGGATTTAAAAAAATATTAATGAGAAAATACTTTCAAATGTCCCCCAAGACCCTTTAACGAGACCTTTATATCAAAAAAAAGTGTTGGGTCTCAAATAAAGCGTTTTCTAAAAGTGTATTATGTTGGGTCTCAAAATAATGTGAAAATTTAAAAAATTATAATTAAATGAAATATATATCCAAGTATTGAATATGAATGCATAAAAAATGATCTGGCAGACACTCTGTTAGGTAATGGTGGAAGCTTTTTTATAACGAACTTTATAAATAAACTAAAAAAAAAGAAAGAAAAAAGAAAAAAATAAGAAAAATAACTTAAATAAAAATAAAGAAAGAGAAGAAAAGAAAGAAAAATAAAAATAAAAAAAGCAAAAAAAAAATAACAAAAAATTAAAAACCAAATCAAACAAATTAACAAAAGAAAAAAAAAAGAGAAAAGAAAAAAGAAAGACAAAACACCAAAGCTAAAAAAAAAACATTCGAAAAAGGAAAGTAATTAAAAAGAATTAAAATAAAATATGAAAATTGCTCCGTTTTTGAAGAAACTAAAAAGAATAATTTTTAAATTTTA